CTATGGTTTTATCTGAGGAGCTTGAAGACGTAGAATATTTAGCTCCCAACTTTAGCTCACTATGCTGGTTTCTACCCCAATGTTAGATTCTGAAACAGTCTTGCGAGAGTGAAAAATCCAGGATGTAATATGGTCAGCTACTGCCCTTATCCAGGCTCAATGAAAGACATCTTATATGTGTGTGTCAAAAGGTTGAGGATTGGTTGGTAATCTTTACACAGGAGCCTACGTCTGCAAATGGGCTTATGTGGCTCTCTTTAATTACAAAGTAGACTAGGTATTAGCAATTAATTACCCTACTCAAGAAATTCCACTACAGAGTCTTGTCCTTAACAGGATTACTGTTCCATGTAGGCCACTTTTCCCTCTGTGAATCCCAGCCCAAGTCTTGGTGGTGATTCCTCCTCCAGCCCCTTCATCCTTTCAATTTCCACACCTGGTGTCTACCAAAAACCCACTCTGAGCTTCTGCAGAGTGCCACTTTATTCCACGGAGGCGGCAAGCATGTGGATGGGAATGGGTGTTGCTCTAAATTAACCTCCTACACATGTTCCCTCATGTGCACAGGGCATTTGCATTTTAAGCAAATCTTTTCTATATTTTACTGGTCACAGTATAATTTTACCTGCAATACAAATAAAACAGTGATTACATTTTCTTTCTAGTAATTGGCTGTAGGAATCACATACTCTTATTAAACTCTTCCTGTCAGTTTATACTGCATCGTAATTTTAGTTTATCACAGTGCCTACGTGCAATGCTACCTGATACTCCCTCCTGGAAAAGAATTTTGTTCTGTTGTGCTTACTTTGCTTTTTTCTGTACAAACTCCCTTTTATATACTTTTATGATTTATTGGCATTATGAACCCTCTAGCCTCCTTTCCCGACGGGGCTCAAACACTTGGGAGTGATATGCGTTCTCTCCCTTTCTAGTTGACTCTTTCCTGGCTCCTTTACTCTTCCTTCTCCCCATCTCCTGCTTTCTTGTCACTGGCTGCTCCAATATGCTTTTTCCTCTTGCTCTCTCTTTGCCCAGCCTTATAGCACCCTCTAAGAAATGTGTTTTGCAGAAGGAAGGTCTCTGTACACTGTTACTACTTTCTTCTTTGGCTGTGTTCTTAGTTTTTGTGTCATTTCTGGGAACTCTGCTACAGTAACATTCCATGGAGGAAAGTTGAACACCAGTGAAAGGAGAGAGAAAGCTGGGGAAAGAAAGAGTGGAGGGAAGATGGAGAGGGGCTCAGGGAGGATCCCAAGCAAGTTAACATGAGGCATCTTGGAGTAAACTCTACAAATAAACACACTTTTCACAATGTTTTACTGTCTACAAAGCAGTTTTCGTAAGTTACCTGATTATCTGGTAACAAATATAGGCATGCTTCTTAACATTTTGCAGATGAAGAGACTGGAGCTATAAATTAAGAATAATATAAACTGTGATGATGCAGCTTATAAAAGCAGAGTTAGGATTTGAGGCTTCTGACTTCAGGTCTCTTTCTTTTCCCACCATTCCACAATGCCAGGAAAATGGAGTTGAACTCGGGGAGAATTCAAGTCACCTTTCACAAGGCTATGTTTTCCATAGGTTCAAAAAAACCAAAAAATCCAGACTTATGCCCTAGTTTATCATGATTAATTTTTCTTGTGGTAAGTTTTGTTTGTTGTAGCAACAATAAATGAATTACTTTCCAAACTGGGAATATCCCTTTGTAGCCAATGAAGGAATTAGTACAAGTGTGGAGGAGTAAATCTGCATAAAGATAAATATAACTTTAGAAAATTCTTGAGACATTGACAGAGCCTTGGACCTAATTTCTAAATGGGTAGAAAGCTCTCTTTTAGAACAGCTTCTCTGCAATCCTGTGTAGAAGTGGGAAGATGAACATGGAGACTATTCAAGGCAGGGGTGGTGGACTTAGTGGGTCATTTTCACTTTTTTCAGTTTCAAAATCTTACAGATTCTATTATTTTTGGCTCTTTCTGTGTCTTTGAGAACTGCTCTTTCTACCTTAAATCACCTCCAAAATCACCAGGGCAAACATTCCACACAAGAAGCTTATTTGAACTTCAGGTCTCTAGAAAACAGACTGCTGTGTCATTGCATTTGGAAAGCAATCATTTAAAGATAGTTTTCAGGCAGGTGAAAGACCAGCACAACGAACTGATAAAACTGCCTCTGTCATTTGATCTCCTGCAGCCATTCTGGAGAGAAGACATTCTTGTTAGAAACTTGAGCAAGAAGCTCTGGTCAGGAGACTTCTCTTTTATTAGGATCCTGCCCCACGTTAGAGGTCAAGTTACAACTCCCCTCAAAATGGCTCTGTAATAGGCTGCATTACATAGAAAATTCCAACAAAGCACTGGAATGTCTGAGTTAAGAGAACTCTTTGTAAATTAAGAAGAAAAATAAAGTTCAGCAGCATAATCCTATCTCTAAGCCAAATCTGGATAATATTAAAGGACTTCCAAATAACACCATTTAACTCTTTATTTGCGAGAATTATAAGAGTTTGCACTCTGAGCGATGTCCCATCCCCTGCTCCCCAAACCCCAATAGAAGCAAAGCAGCTAGCAACACTCTACCTCATAAACTTAGTATTTAAACTGTGCAAAGGTGAAGAAAAAAGGTGAGAATAAAAAAGGTGAAGTGGGAAGATGGCAAGGAAATGTCCCAGCACTTTGGGAGGTCGAGGCAGGAGGATCACGAGGTCAAGAGATCGAGACCATCCTGGCCAACATGGTGAAACCCTGTCTCTACTAAAAACACAAAAATTAGCTGGGGCTGGTGGCGTGCACCTGTAGTCCCAGCTACTCGGGAGGCTGAGGCAGAAGAATCACTTGAACCCGGGAGGCGGAGGTTGCAGTGAGCCGAGATCACACCACTGCACTCCAGCTTGGTAACAGAGCAAGACTCCATCTAAAAAAAAGAACTGTAATGCCAAGATTTGCTCAAATAATTTTCTCAATTTCATGGGGACCCAGAGTCCATTGACCCTGACACCTTCCACTGCCTCTCATGGCCACTGTGTCCTCAATGTCCCTTCTTAGCCAGCTTCCATTTGCAGTCTTTGCATGCACCAACTTATTTGCCTCTCTCTCCTTTCAAAGTACAGTATGTGTCTGGCAGTATCTTAGATATGGTTAAAACCAACTCTCTGCCTAGTTCATGCTTAAAAGTGTTGGGGGAAAACATGCAACCATGCTGACTAGACTCACTTTAAGTTCACGATCATTCACGATTATGGGCATCCTGTTGCCCTCCATGCTGCCTGGCTGTTCTTTTTTTTTTTTTTTTTTTTTGAGGCAGAGTCTCGCTCTGTTGCCCAGGCTGGAGTGCCCTGGCGTGATCTCGGCTCACTGCAACCTCCTCCTCCCGGGTTCAAGTGATTCTCCTGTCTCAGCCTCCCGAGTAGCTGGGATTACAGGCACCTGCCACCATGCCTGGCTAATTTTTCTATTTTTAGTAAAGATGGAGTTTTGCCATGTTGGTCAGGCTGGTCTCCAACTTCTGACCTCAGGTGATCCACCCGCCTCGACCTCCCAAAGTGCTGGGATTACAGGTGTGAGCTACTATGCCTGGCCACACTGCCTGGCTGTTCTGTCACATTGCTCACGCCCCTAGATGGCTCGTCAAACCTGTTCCCCCCTTTTATGATCAGCGGATCACCTTGCTTAACTGTTTTCTTAAACATTTCTATGTACTCATATTACCCCAATTCCTACAGGACTTATATCAGTTTAGACCTTGGAAGATGGCACCCAGCACTGGCTACATGCTCCTACTCTAGTTGTCATTTACTTCAAGGGCAGCATATTTACTGAAGGTTAAAACAACAAGATAGTACTGTCCTAGGCATGTTCCCTGGCAGCAGGGTCCCTCTGCCTCATGTTGCTGTGCCTTTATTGCTTGAAACGTCAATAAGTGAATGCAAGCCTGTTTAACCCAGGGACCTGAGCATGTGTCTGCCGCCCACACTTCTGCTGAACTACAGTTCACATGTCTCACTGGGACAGTCTGGGAGGATGCTAGCTGTACAGACTGCTTTTGCTTCTCACTGCTGTTACCCCATCGCACTGTCACCCAGAGACCTGCCCAGAGTTTGCAGGTGCATGTCCAGGAGTAAGGTGGGACCACACAGGTCAGCACTTCGGTAGGACTGTCCCTCACTGAGTCCTGCCCTGCTTTCTGCCACTTCCCCTGATGTTTGCCAGAGGAAGAGGCCATGCAAGAACTTAGGAAAAAAAAGCAGTGGGCACATTCATAATGGCTACCATTTACCAAGTATCTGTTGTGTGCCAGGTGCCTTACACACATTCACTCACCTAATTCTAACAACTGCATTCCAAGGTGTCATTATTCTCATTTTATAAATGAGAAAACTGAGGCTTAGATTACATAATATGCAGAAGCCTCACTGCTAATAAAGGGTAGAGCCTGCATCCGGACCCAAGTCTACCTGAGTTCAAAGCCTATGTTCTTTTCACGACACTACTGCCTATTCATTTATGTCAAAATGAGAGCTTAGAGTTCACTGCAGACCTTCAGCATGGGCTCCAGCTTTCTTAGAATGCTGTGTGCTACCCAAATATTTTATTTTCTTCGTTAAGTGCAACAATTTGTGTTAATACATGCAATTATATAAAATCAGAGCATGAACATGACCTGATAAACTTCGTATTTATTTTCATTTTGACTTGGACATCTAATAGGCACCTGAAACTGAACACATACAAAACCAAATTCCTGAAGACCATCTCTCTGCTAACTGTAGCTCATGCAGTCTTCCCCAGCTTAATAAATGGCAACTCCATTATTCTAATTGCCCTGGCAAAAAAACCTTGGTGCCATCTTTAATTCTCTTTCTGTCATAGAACATCAGAAAATCTTGAGGACTCTACCTTTAAAATATATTAGAATATATTTTCTATTGCTGTTACTACCCTGCTCCAAGCTTCATTTTCTATTGGCCTGGATGATGGCAGTAACTTGTTTCCTACCTTTTTGTCTCCTGACAGCCTTCACTCAATATTATGTTCCAGAGTAAGCCGTTAAGATGGAAGTCAGCCTTCCCCACTCCCACGGCTTCACACGACTAGCCTAAAAAAGAAAGACAGAAGTCAGGTCGTATCGTCCTTCTGCTCAATATCATGGATTGGCTTCTCATATCACTCCAAATAAAATTTAAAGTCCTTAAAAAGCTTATAAGGCTATATATCATCTAACCCCTCCTTCGCTACCTGAATTACTTCTACTTCTCTCCACCAATCTCACTCTGTTCACACTGGTTTCCTTGTTTTCATAAACATATTATGACTACTTCTGCCTCAGGACATTGTGTTTGCTGTTCACCCTGCTAGGAGATCTCTTCTAGATACCCACATGGCTTCTCCCTCGCTTCCCTTCTATCTCCACTCAACTATCGCTTTATCAGTGAGGCCATCCCTTTAATAACTGTGGTAGCTAGTGTCCAAAAATGGCCCCCAAATGAGCCACATCTTCCAATATTCTCAGCCTCACAGAGTCCTCTTCCCTTGAATCCAGTGGTCCCTGTGACTTGTTTTGACCAACAGAATGTGGTGGCGGTGATGCTTGCCTGACTTTCAAGTCTACATCATAAGAAGGCTTGCAGTTTTCGCCTGGATTTTTTGGAATACTTGCTTCAGGAGAAGCCACCAGCATGGGAGAAGCCTGACTACTCAATTCCCCCATGCTGTGAGAAAGCCCAAGACAGCCACATAGAAAGGTCATGTGCAGACAGAGTAATGCCTGGCCAGACCCTGGTTGTTCCAACCTTCCCATCTGAGGGGCCAGCCATGTGAATGAAAAAGCTGTTTGGTATGTCCAGCCCATTTAATTACTCAGATAACTCTGACCCCATTTGCCATATGACTGCAACTGTTTAAAGACCTCAGGGAACCTACAAGATCCTACATTTTTTTTCTTAAATTTTTTTTTATTTTTTAATTTTTTTAAATTTTAGAGACAGGGTCTCACTTTGTCACCCAGGCTGGAGTGCAGTGGCACAGTCATAGTTCACTGTAAACTCAAACTCTGGGTTCAAGCAATCTTCCTGCCTCAGCCTCCTGACTAGCTGAGACTATTAGTGCATGCCACCACACCCAGCTAATATTTTTTGACCAATAGGATTCAGGGTGTTTTGTTGTGTGGCAATGGATACCTGAAACAGAAATCAATATATTACACTCCTTCCCGCATATATAATGACACTCCATATCCTCCTTAACTTGTTGTATTTTTCTTTTGTTGTATTTACCACCTGGCTTACTGTGTATCTACCTATTTGTTACTGTCTCCCTGTCCCCTCTGGAACACAAACTCTGGGAAGGCAGAGACTTTGTCTTATTCATTACGGTATCTCGAGTGCCTGGAATAATGTCTAAGACAGGCCTTCAATACATTTTGTTAAATGAATGCATATATTTAATTTAATTTAATTTAATTAGATAAGTTTACTTTTTGTAAACATAACAAGTCCATAAAAAGACTGAAATTAATTTAAATTGCCCATGCCGACAGGCTTCCCTCTTATGGATACAATATCTGGAGCTGTCTAAAATACTGCAATCTTTGCCTTTCCACTGAAGCATACCTTCCAAGGGGGAAGGAGTAAGATTCTGCTCCTTTAATACATACTGACCCCAGGAGAAAGGGACTAGACATGTATGGACTGAATGTCTGTGTGCCTTGCAAATTCATATGTTGAAATCCTAACCCCCAATATGATGGTATTAAGAAGTGAGACCTTTGGAAGTGATTAGGTCATGAGGGTGAAGCCTTCAGGAATGGGATTAGTGCCCTTATAAAAGAGACTTCAGTGAATTCACTAGCCCTCTTTCTGCCATCTACGGAAGATGGCCATCTATGAACCGGGAAGCAGGCCCTCACCAGACATCCTATCTTCCAGCACTTTCATCTTAGACTTCCTAGCCTCTAGATCTGCAAGAAATAAATGTTTGCTGTTTAAGCCACCTAGTCTATGCTATTCTGGTATAGTAGACTGAACTAAGACAAGAAAAAAAAAAAAAATGGTGTCAGGCAGATTCCAGGAGAACATCCCTTAAACATAACCCAAATGGAGATGGCTATCAGAATCATCAAATCCTGTTGAGGAGCTCTTGTCAGTAGATCTGTGCTACACAGTGCCACCTCTCCCTTAACTCACTTCTGGAAGGACTCAATAATTCCTCCTTATTCCACAAGCACTTCTTGAATGCCTACTCACTCTCTTATGATAAAATATCCATTCCCCCCTTTCACAAAATTAGTCAGAATAAAGAAAAACCATTGGGTTGAAAAACTTTGAATAGAATGTTTAAAGTGATTTAGAAGTTTGGACACAGTAATTTTGCTTGCGTTAAAATAGTTCAAGATCTCATCTCAACCACTTTGTGGGAAAATTGCTAGCATAGAGATGTTTCAGCTGTTAGCTTGGTTGACGTTTTTGTTTTGGCACTTCTGGAAAACAGAGGAAGGGGCTGAAGCTCATATATTCTTGGAGAAATAAGGCAAACAGCACAGCTCAGGGATGGGCTGGTGATGTGGCATTCTGTGTCAAGTAAGGAACACCCTGCCATCTCCTGGGCCTCAGCTTCAGATTTCTGGACAGCACCTTCTCAGGCAAGAATACATATTTTCCCAGGAACAAGCAAGAAGGCTGCCCAATCCATTTAGATTCATATGGAAAGAAAAGAGACACTGCCTCAACCTCACAAGCAACAAAGCAGGCAGAGACGAAGTACAAGCTCAGAAACTCACAAAATTGCTTTACTAACCAGAATACCTAGTTAGCTTCTCTGCTGGAAATATCTGCAGTTAGGTTTTCTCAAAGTGCTCTTAATGATACAGATTAGCTACAAGTTTTACTTTTTGTAAAAGGCCCAGTTGGGTAATTTTTCCAGAACGAAGGGTGAATACAACGAATAGTCAAGTTTTTACCTTTCTCTAGACTGAAAAATTCTAGCTTTAAAATAATAGCTTTTCGGCCGGGCGCGGTGGCTCAAGCCTGTAATCCCAGCACTTTGGGAGGCCGAGACGGGCGAATCACGAGGTCAGGAGATCAAGACCATCCTGGCTAACACGGTGAAACCCCGTCTCTACTAAAAAATACAAAAAACTAGCCGGGCGAGCAGGCGCCTTAGTCCCAGCTACTCGGGAGGCTGAGGCAGGAGATGGCGTGTAAATCCGGCGGCGGAGCTTGCAGGTGGAGCTGGACACCGGCCACTGCCACTCCTGCTGGGCGACAGAGCGGAGACTCCGCTCTCAAAAAAAAATAAAAAAAAATAAAATAAAAATAGAAATGTATTAGCTGTTTCTGATGGCATTATTATTTCAGTACCTCCCTCCCGCCCTCTTTACAAAATAATGCTTATAAGGGTTAAGTTTGGCATCTGGGTTGAAAAAATCCCATGTTTAAAAGATTAGAAGAAAAATTGAGAAGTTGAGAAGAGTCTTAGATCAGCCAGTACATGAGCAAATCTTCAAGTACAACGTCATGTGTTTCCACGGGGTGGAAGCACTGTTAAAATTAAATTACCATACACTTACAAAGCCTTTTTTTGTTGTTTTTTTTCTTAGCCAGAGTCCTGCTCTTTCGCCCAGGTTAGATAGTGGCACGATCTTGGCTCACTGCAACCTCTGCCTCCTGAGTTCAAGAGATTTTCCTGCCTCAGCCTCCCGAGTAGCTGGGATTACAGGTGCATACCACCACTTTCCCAGCTAATTTTTGTATTTTTAGTAGAGACAGGGTTTCACCATGTTGCCCAGGCTGGTCTTGAACTCTTGACCTCAGGTGATCCACCCGACTGAGCCTCCCAAAGTGCTGGGATTACAGGTGTGAGCCACTGTGCCTTGCCTCACAAAGCTTTGAAAAGCATTCCTTAATAAGGCCTCAAGGATGAACATGTCCTTGTGTATTTTTTTTCTGTGAAAATGAAACTAGTCTAAAATCTCCATGCAACTGTAGCTGGAGAAATAAATATTGACCTAGTTTCCTCCTATAATTCTGCTTTATTTCATAGGAGCTTAGAGTTAGAGGCAAACTTTAGACATTATTTAGTCCTAATCCATCACAAATTATAAGAAAAAACTCAAAATAGCTTTATTTAAAAGGAAGTATCTTCAGATATAATGCTATTTTCACACACGATTGATACATTTATTAGGATGAAAATCATATTAGAATAAAATATCTTTGAGGCTACAATTGGTCCTTTTTATGTGAATAGTAAAATTAAAGGTTTAAAATATATGCTAAGATGAAGATGAAAAATATTATTTTAGGAAGACTGGAAAATACAATGAAGGTTTGGCTTTCATACAAGGTTTGGATTTGTTTTTTAGATTCTTCCCAGTAATTAGATTTAGGGTTTAGAGTATCTCATATGACTCTCCTGTAAAAACAGACATTTTAACCAAGCACTGACATGCAAAATAAAAACAAAATACTTTTTCCTTCAGGGACTAGCCCAGCTATAGCTGGAAGTTCAGTAATGCAAAAATACACATACATAGTAATTAAACCTAGCTTCCAACAAACTTAAAGTTAAATTTTAATGACTTTTTATGGCTGGGTAATAAATTGTATGTAAATGAGTCATGGATGGAGACCTTAGTATATATAAAATGTCAAAAACCAGTACTGATTGATATATTGAAAAGAAAAGAGGCCTTGAAAATCTGTGTTCTAGATCTAACTCAGCCACAATAGCTCCTTAACCAAATCATTCAGCTGTTTTGGGCTTCGGTTTCCTCATTTGTAAAATATGATAGTTACATTTGGTAATTATAATTAATGTTTGTGTGGTGTTTATGTCTCTAAAACTCTTTCCTGTGTATGATCTGACTTCACATATAATTCTTTGAAGTAAGAAGAACAGATAATGTCACTTTTAGGATACAGATGAAGAAACAGCCTCATAAAGGCTAAAATATATGATCAAAGGCTGTACACAGTTTGTAAATGGATTCAGACTCAGATGTTCAGACACAATTTTATGTAGGTAGACAGTATACCTACCACCTCTAAAAGTCTGATATAATAGAGTTGTGTTTAGTCATTACTCAATTATAACTAGACT